TTAACAAAATGAGATTAATTTAATTTTGATTTAGTCTTTTATATTACATCTATTAGATGGATCATCTTTTATGCAAAACTTTTATTTTCATGTATTGTTTTTAAATTTCCTCATAGCCACTTCATTATTATTTGCATAAAGCAAGTTTAATTAATAAATTTATTTAATGCATTCTATTTTTTTATTCAACAGACTTATTTCTTCCACGTGGAAACTTTAGATCAATTTTATCTCTCAACAATCACAATGTTACTTTTACCGAGTCATACCGCGAAATTATGCGTTATTATGGTTATTATTTTGATATTATTGAAAATAACACTAGCATTGTCGAGACGGTAACTAAAATCTCAGAAGCTACTACTAGTTTGAAAAGCACGCAATCAGAATCAACAGAATCAATAGAAACAACTACAAATACTTCTCCCCGAATACCTGTCTATACAGAATCGGTTACAGTTAGTACTACAAAAATTACAGAATCGATAAATCCAGATCCAACAACAATAATATACGATGTAACAGAACCAGAAATAATTGGCGGTCACAGTGAAAGTACAACACAATTTTTAGTTACAACTACCCCACAAATTGTAACGACAACTCAGAATACAAATTTAGATACTAAGGAAGATTCATCTGAACTAATTACATCAACTACAGTCGATGTTGAAGGAAACGGTGAGGTCTATATGACGACTGAAGATATATCCACAAATACAATAGATCTGGAAGAATCACCAGAAATAGATGTGCCAAATACTGTATTACCCGATTTAACAACTTTTATGATAGCAGAGACAACAGAAGAACCAGATGAAATTTCAACCACTACATTAACTTCTATAAATAATGAAGATTTAGAGATAAGCACTACAGAAACCACTCATACAGAAACAAGCGACTTAAATGATATTTCGACAACATTTGCAACAGAAAGCGAACCTGAGGTAACATTAGACACCGCAGGTGAATCGGAGGATTTATCAGAGAAGAGTATTTTAAGTAGTACGTTTCTTGCAAACATTGCAATTAGTACAAAAATTAGTAAAGTAAATCAAGTCTAAACCAAATCTTTTTTAGTTGGCTTGAGCGATGCAACCACACGAACCGGGAGAGAACAAAGGCGACCCGAATTGGTGATGGCGTTTTATACACAGCGTGGATCTTTTCATTTATATACATCCTATATTGTTAAAGTAAGAATTTATACAAACATTTTTTAAACCTCATATAATAATTAAAACTCTTTTTTATGCTAATATTATATTTACAGACTGGTTTACTATACAGAGCGGAAATTCGTTCTATAGGAGCATCAGTTTTGAGACTACCTATGGCTTATTCCAATGGTCTTTATCATGCGCTAATAGTACTTCCTTGGCAATATTCGAGTGGAACCGAATACGTTATTAGAGAAATTTGTCGGCAAAATATTGCTTTACGCGAATTAGAAAATTCACTTAGACCTGTTAGAGGTCGTGCAATGGTACCTAAGTTTCGATTAAAGGGGATCGTAGATGTAACAGAGGATTTAAAGAAGGTAAAATGTACTAAAGATATAGCATCTGTCTCTAATTTATTTTAAATATTATTTTTTTAAATATTTAATCAAATCTATTGCATGGGACTGAAAGAATTATTTAAAAATGACAAAATGAATATGTTATCATTAGATTGGTATAAGAGAGATATTTGAACCGGGTTTGGCTGATTTCCGTCCGATGACTCGGGAAAAAGGCGTTTTCGCTAGGAGTTTGGAGCAGGCTATAGATATCGCTGTTACAGATGAGTTCGAACCATCGAAATCCCTGAAAAGCTTCGAGACAGAGAAGTCTTCGAGAATGTATGTGGAACCGTATGGAAGTGAGTATAATTTATAAAGAAACCAAATGTTGTATAACGTCTGCTTAATAGTTAGGAATGATATTTTGAATATAAGTAGAGCGGTTTTTGCATATAATTTTTCTTAATCTGTGGAAAAATCAAAATACATATATAGAAAAGGTGTTGTTCGCTTTAGATTTTTTTTATTCAATCTTATAAAACTTCTTTCCTTGTTTCATTTGTTGTTCGATTATCTTATAGTATAAATAATTAATTACTTTTCTGACTGTGCCACTAAAGTTATGCTTAATTTTATAAATGAATCCATAGATGATTAAATTTACTTAATCTATTTTGTTAAAAGTTGCCTAATCAATGCAGTTACCAAATGTAAAATTATAAATATATCATACAATACAAAATGTGTGGAAACTTATATTGTTATTAACAATAACTTTATTAGCTATAATTCCATACCAGAATTTATATAATCGCTAAAAACTAATTTTCATTGAATATAAATGGAACGGAAAGCGATTCGCTATGAAATAATCGTCCAAACAAATGAAAATCGCGGTGTCATCTTTATTAATTGTGTATGTACCTTTTTAAGTGTGCCAATGTCATATTGACGATATGCAATATGCGACAGATTATTCATACCCGAATGAATTTTTTAAATTTTACATCTTTTTATGGACCAAATTTCACTTACAATTATCAAAAAGTTAGCAACATTTAGAATTGTGACGATAGATTTTGAAATTTTGATACGAATAACTATTCCAAACTTGGATAAATTTTTATAATCGAACCAATTGTCGTAGGCCATAATTTTTCAGAACGTTCTTTAAGACCATGAACTTCATCATCAGTTTCATCAAAATTTGTTTTTTTTTAAGATCTAATTACTAATTAGTTGGTTGACTATAGACTATATATAGGTTAACCTTACAGCCCATTGTGACGACCATAGGTTGACCCTATGTCAAGCATGTGCTGTGTGGGTAGTTAAGATAGTCCTTAACTTAAGCACTATCTTAACTATAGTTAAGTATAATGTAATAATAATATCTTAATATAGTTAAGTATAATGTATAATATCTTACAAACAGTTTTTGAGTTAAATCATATATATATATATATATATATATACATGTTTTTACCAATTTTGGACTCAAACGAGTCAGAGTGACTTGAAACATGCAGAAAAATAAAATAAGGTCTAATTTTTTGGCGAAAACAAAAACGATATATTAAATTGTACAAGTTATATATATTTTTTAGGAATCAGTTAAGACAGACAGCTAGATGTGCCTTTGTTTTAAATTTCAAATTTTAGCCAAAGACCGTTTGAGAAAAAAATAGGAAACTTATCTATTGAATAATCGAAGCATATATTTTTATTTCAATTTTTCAACTTTATTTATTTGCTTTTGAAACTTGAAAATCATATTTTTTTTATACCTGGTGGAAGTGAGAAATCCATGAAGTGATCCCCTGGATGTCTTGAACACAGGATATTCTAATATTGTCTTGGCTCTTGAATGTGATCGAATTTTGTTTGGTATGGAAATATTACCAAGTGTTTGTCGATTGTTTCAATGATTTCTATCCAGAATATGCGATCCACCCTGTCAAGAGCGCTGAAATAGGTAATCGGTAATCAGCCTCATCCGGAAGTCATCGCTTTGAGCTTTGATGGTTCTAAAACAATATGATCATTGTCAGAAGTCAAGCAGTCACGCAATGGCGCGTACGAGGCCAATAAACAATCGACAGTGTCATCCGGAACCTAATGGCACACAAAACTTTTCATGGTTAATCAATCGTCAATTACATTTGAGATTTCAGATGTGCATTTGCATCACCAGCCAAGATATATATTTAAAAAAAAAATTAACAAATAAAATAAAAATGCCTGATGGCACACAAAACTTTTCATGGTTAGAGGGCGTCCGTTTATCACACGAGGCTTAAAAGGGAAGGAAGGTCTTTGCCAAAAAATAACAAAAGATCACGTGGTAGAGGGCCAGTAGAATATCACGTGTAATTAATTTTTACCTCAATTTAAAAAATCTATTTTTTTCAATTTTTTTTATGTTTTTATTAGGTACTAAAAATATACGTAATGTTGGGAGAAGGAGGTTAATTTTAAATAAAACCTCGGGTCAAAAAAGGGAGATGAGGGGTCAAAACATCTTAAGAATTGATCACGTGTATTATTACACTCATTAATTTTTCGCCTACCAATACATATTTGAAAAAAAAAATAAACTTTTGAAGAGGCAACATATCTTTAACAATATTTCAAAATATTGTATAGTTGCGAAATACGGAATTATATAGTTATCCTTGTAATAAGTAAACAAGTATAAAAAGTCTCAATAAATGTTAACCGAAAACGAAATTTGGACAGATATTTGAAATTTTTTTTTTCTTTTTTTAATTTTTGAACAGCAATCAGAACCTTACGTCCTATGAGCTGTTGGTCTGAAACTTCTCCTTCGTATTTTTTAGTTGGTAACCCAATGGTTAATCCATCCATATTTGATGATTTTTTGTTATTAGAATTAATCTAATAGGGCTGACATTTTTATTGGTGCAACAATGCCGGGTGAGGGCTATTTTCACTTGGAAATATATTGATATCTATATTTCCAAGTGAAAATCGTTGTTCCTGTTGCCTGACAACAGGCTGCTCGAAGTGGGTATCGAACCCGGGACCTCTGAAATAGGTCCTGTCGCTCTTAACCGCTTACCTACGGGCAAGCCCATTTGAAAAAATAATGAAATTTTATGCAACTAAATTAACAATCAAATATTTAAACACTTGCTGCACAAATATCAATTGCCCTAATTAATAATAGTATTTTAAACATCAATAAAACACTATCCTGCTTCACCCATGTTAGTGTTTAAAATATAAATTGCTCAATCTGATTATAAAACACTTACTCAATGTTTTTCACAAACAGAAAGCTTTTTAATAAATTATAAATTAATTTGGTTGTTAAATCCATTCGTATATAAAAATAGTATCCTCACATTTACATACATTTTTGTGTTTACATTCTAAATATTTCTAATATTTGGTATTTTATAACTTACCTCACAGAACCATAAATATGCCGAATAAAAATATGTTTACAGGTGTTAATCGTCGGTTATTTTTTGTCTAAGGTACTAATTACATTCGAGAATTTTTTGTGCAGATTGTTGGATCGTCATTACAGATGACGTAATAAATATTTTAGAACAATCTTAATGATAATTTTATATAACACATCGTAAACTACCGTCATCTAATGCAATACTAAGAACATTAAATATTTTTTATTAAAAATGATATAAATACGATCTATTGACATATTGATAATTAATTACACAATATATATTTTTCATAATAATTAATTATGTATAATAAATAATTATTATTATTTTCAGATCTCGGGAATGACTGGTACACAACTGAAGACTTTATTGCTAATAGACCATTTTTATTTTATATTATGGATTCAGAGTTACATATTTGTCTTGTAGCTGGTAAAGTAGTAGATCCAACTAATATTCAGATTTATTAAAAATGCAGAAAATATTCAGTATTATACAAAGTTCTTAGTTTTAGTATTATGCAAAATGCTTAGTTTTGATATTATTGTGATTTTTTTTTTCGAATTAAATTCATACGAAATATAATGTGCCAAATTTAAATAATGTTTATTAAAATTTTTATAAAAAATATTGCCAAAAAAAGTCTATGGAAAATTTCACCGGAATTAAAAACTTGACAGGCATTAAACACGCTTCGAAGTAAATTAGTAGTTAATGTATATATTAATCACCATTATATGAACATTTGTGCAAGTTTTTTTCACGCAAAAAATATTTTAAACATTCGATAAAAATATGTTAATACATCTAATAATTATGTAAATCATTTATGCCCAAAAAGCCAAAATACATGAATACATAAATAAATTATATATTTTTATTAACAATCCAAATAAATTGAGGCACAATAACATAAAATTATAATAATCAACACACATGCTAGCTTGTTAAAATAATGATATACATATCTCTATGTGTCTATCATAACAAAGACACATCAATTACTATATGTGTTTGAAATTTAGATCACTTTAACTTACTAACAGATTAATAATTTTATTAAATACTAAAATATTCTTAAATACTGTTATAATAGTACAAACAATTATATTGATAACGATAAATAATGTTTAACAGTATTCATTTTTTTTTCATCATAATATTTATGATTGACTCAACAAACGTATCATTACTGTTATTCTTGAGAATAAAATCATGATCGTGTTTTGTCTAACGATTTATAAAGTTCGAACTTGCTCAATATTGATGAGTAAGAGAAATATTTCTACCAAAAATGATAAAATATTGATCCTATACTTATTTATATAGCGAAACCAGTAGAAATTGGTTATGAGAAAAGGCAAAATTATTTTTGAGAAGTTTCTTAATTAAAATATGGTTATATCTAACATATGCATTATCGGCATAAATTAACAATATATACAATCATATAATGGCAAGCAGAATCTTTATGATAAATTTAACATTTGGTTTTCAGAAATATAAGAGTGGATTATTAATTAATAATTACGACTAGGTGTATGTATGAATAACACAGATTACTTAAATAATTTAAGTTACGTTATGTGATTTATGTATTTACAAAAACATTTTGTTATCAATTTTTTTAACGATTACCATATAATTAATTATAAATATGAGGTTAATTAAGAATTTTATATATATATATATACATACATATATATACACATATGTGAAATTCTATATTTTTACATGTGTATATACATGCATATATTTATGTATATTTATGCATATTATATATATATATATATATATATATATATATATACATGTGTGTATGTAATTCGTAATTTCGAAGTCGATCTATTCTATATTGGGCTATCAAAATAAATATGCAATTACACAAGCAAATATTGATTCTAGTTTACATAAATGTTTTGGTTTTTGTTTTGCTGTGCAGATTTCGGCATTAATCACATACATATAATAGATGATATGCGTAGCATGATATTTTAAAATCATTTTTATTAGAATGTAATTCATCCTTCACATTTTTCCATTCATTACAACGTCTGTTTTAGCTTAAAGTATTTTAAAAAGCTTAGCGTGCGTGGTTTTTGCAGAAAGGACGTCCGCCCTTAGCGTAGAAGCTCTGTCCTTCCAAATTTTTTCTTACACATCTAAAATAAAATGTATGTCGTTTTACTTTCATTAGCCTTATCAATTGAAAGTTATTCAATAATGAGTGCACACACATTATTATATAAATGTCTAATATCTACATAACACACACTGTTGAAAAAAATCAAAAATTGGTTTCCGTAGTATTTATTTAGCAATTGAAATTGTCTAATATTCGGTTTTTATTTACAGTCAATGAATCATATTCAAAATCATTTAAACCTTTAAAATAAACGGCTGTAAAAGTCAGAAGTTAGAAAAATTATTATTTTTTCAAATTCAATTATCCAAAAATCTTAATTTGAACCACGATATAAAAAGTAGAATTGAATTTGTTAATAAAATATTGAATGAAATTATTTGAGGTTTAATAATAAAATTTAATATAAAACGACGTTATTCTTCTTTATAAAGTTTTTTGTACGATACATTTATATGTTTTTTTTAAACTTACACACACAGCCCAATTTATAAATTTTGCCTTGAATTTTATTTACGAATCATTAAAAGATGTGCTCAAGGCAATGCGGACGAGTAAAGTATTTAATGACTCTTCAATTATTTTTTAAAGCAAATTATGTATGGATAATACTCACGGTGCAATTGAAGCACTGGCTATGGTAATTATTAGACAAAGCTTCAACCCAGCGATCGCCAGCTTCCACAGGAAAGCCGCAAGCAAAGCATTTGGTTGTGAACATCTCGTTCCAGTCTAGTAAATATCATATTAAATATCAATATTGCATTCTTTATACACTATATAATATATATATATATATATATATATATATATATATATACATGGCGCTTTTTTTTACGCTATGTATTACCTGCTTGACAATAGGGTTGTCCGTCTTCCAAAAAGAATGGATTGTTTCCAAAAAGTTTGCCACAATAAACGCAGTTGAAGCATTCAGGGTGGAAGTGTTTGCCAATTGCGTTCAAACAATCCTAAAAATAATAATTACTCATTGAATAAAGCATAGAGAGTAGTAATAATTAACCTTGTCCATCGATTTACGTACCCCCTTGATTTTGGCATGGCATTTGTCGCAAGGTGGTGCAATATACTGTTCGAAGCAGTACTCGCAGTACAATTGCCCTTGTTCTTCAACGAATCCAATGTCGGCAAGTGGCCTTTTGCATGTGCCGTTCGAGCAAACAAAGTGACTGGGGCACCAGATACGTCCTAGAGCTGATATGAATGGTCCTCTATAAAAATATAGATATTTCAGGGCATAATTCTATAAGAGAAAATCACTTAAATCATGCAAAAACAAGTCATCGCAATAAAATCACACAAAACAATTTTTATCATGCATTTGATCAAAGTCACACTCAATTAAAAATTATGTGAGGTTAATATTTCTAATCGTTACTGAATTAATTAATATTCGTTCAATTACCTTTGCATTTTGATGTCACCTTTTTCCCATACCATTTAATATGTTTTTGGCAACAATATTATAAAACAAAAATATTTAGAGTATTAAATTCTATATTCTTCATGATTTTTATTTTAGAAAACAAATTGATAATTGAAAACTACATTCTTCATAAATTTTATTTAAAAAAAATTGAAAATTATTTGAGCGCAACATAAAATTTAATAGAAACGTATAATAATGTAATTGATTTTTACCTCCTGATTTCTGTTTTACATTCATGGCACACAGGATATTCTTCACTTGCTAATCCGTTACTCGTGATACCTGATTCGACTGCATTTCCATTTTTTGGCAAATCTATTTTATTATCATCAGAATTCGAAACCTCATTTAGTTCAATTTTACCATTTTCAATGTAAGATAGAGGTCTAGAAGTTTTTTTACTCAAGAAAGAATTCGTTTTACAATTTCCATTTAAAATTTTAGTATTAGTGGTTATGTGTTCAGTTGTACCATTGAAATCACTGATTCCCTTAGGTTTTCTTAATTGAACATTGTTATTATGTTCTATTTTGTCAGAGATTTTATTATCATGTGCATCTTCATTTTGTTGAGCTATTACTGGTTCCATTTTATATATAACGTTAGTAATATGATTGCTTTGCGAATCATTTGAAAGTTTAAATTTTTCTGTTACAAGAGGCGTCATTTGTTTAGCTCCCACTTCATCAAATTGAGGGTTT